TCTATTTAAAAAAATTAAGATTCAAATTTACCTTCTCAATGAATTGGCAATGATCATCTGGCAATTTGCATGATGATAGTTCATATTTCATATTATTCTACTCTATTAGAGCAATGATAATGTTTCATAGACATGCTGAGTTTAAGATATTGTGGGAAACAAATATAAAATGTGGCTTGTGCAGAGGTTGGCATATTTTATGTGTATATTTTACATTATCTTTTTTTCAGTATGTTAAACTCAGCAAATAAAGTGTTCACTTGGTGTCACTTATATATTAACTTTTATATCACTGCTGTCGGAACAAAACCTTGTATGTCCATTTTTGTTGTTTTTCAGTTTTTGACATAATTTGAAAACGCCTGTTGCTCTTTACATTGTGTTGAAAATTCATGATGAATGGACCAAAAGAAATGACCCAAAATGGCTTGGAAAAAAAGTCTGGTTCCATTGACTTACATTAAAAGTAAAACAGGTTTTTTCCTTCTCCTGTAAAGTTACCATTTTGGAGGTAGAAGGTTTTGTTCTGACAACAGCGATATATATACAGGCTGTACACAGGTTGTTATTGTTCAGTTAAGTTCATTTTTACTGTTTGGTCATTTGTAAACTACTCTGATTACATGATTAATTGTCAGTACAATATGTAGACTCTTTGATTACTAATAGTATTAATAATGGCAACCCTAATCGTGTGTGTGACTGAGAAAGATAGATAAAGAAAGACGGAATCTACTAGATCATTATGTATTACTGTGATACCACAACTGATTACTGTGACCCTTCAGAGTTGATCCGTCTAGACACTGACAAGTGCACGTGGAGTGAGGTTGGAGTTTTTTTTTACTTGTTGGAAACAAAATGATGACACAAATGAGCAATAATGAGTTAGACAAGTAAAACAGTTTGTATTTGTGCTCTATTCTTCTCATGCTAAGAGAGCTGCACTTTGCAGACCCCATAAAGAACCGGGTTTTACACTCAGAATCGAACAGACAGGGCTCGGGGGTGGGGGGGTGGGGGGAGGTGGGGGTTGAAGGGGCAGACGGGTAAAAGAAAAAGAAAAAAAAGACAGTTTTGCTGCCAGTGCCAGTCAGAACACGCACAAATAAAATGAAAACAATAATGAAACAAGGTCTGGGTAAGCATTAAAAAATTATTTACAACCAATATAATAGTGAACAAAACATTTACTTTCATATATGTAGCTACAGTAAAAGGCTGCCGAGACAACCTTTCAATCCCTTCTATACAAGTTTCATTTCGACAAATGTAAATTCTTCCCTTTTTTTTTATCCTGCCAAATTGAAATGGATCTACCGTGGCAGCTTCGCGGACTCGTTCGTTAATCTGCACCCTTCGTTTAGATTAGGAAAAAAAATGACAATGGTACTCATCGTCCGCTCTCTGAACGAGAGATGCACATACAAGTTCCAAAATACAAGCTCCAGTACAAGAAGACATCGTGTCTACACGTGTATTTCAATCCAGCCATTAAGAGAATCCATACCAGGTGAAACAAAAACAGATACAGATGACAAGAAATAGGCATTTTTTTTCTTCTGAAAACCAAAAAACAAACAAACAAAAAAAAACAGTAATAGACTTTTTGTGGGGGAATCTTCCGTACATTGTGCTAAGGGAGCTGGCACCCTTAGCCACAAGCTCTGTTTGCAGTTCACTTTTTTTTTTATCAATTTGTTATTTTCTTACACCCAAGGCAGAAAAAAAGCTACTAAAACTCAAGACTTTTACAGTTACAGTGACAAAAAACATTTTAGAGACCCACAATTTAAATTGGACTGCGAAATAAAAAAAAAATAAAGATAATTAAAAAAAGTCTTTTTTTTTTTTTGTCCTTTTCTTTTTGTAAAATGCCCAGGCATTCTCCAATATTACAAATACTGGTATACTTTTACAGTAAACAAGAAAAATGTAATATATATATTTATATTTATATATTTATATATATACTAAAACCCCGTCACCAAAAAAACCAATATACACATAGCCACTATGGCATTCAGAGAAACTTTGTAAGCAAAAAAAAAAAAAAAGAAGAAAAAAAGAAAAAAAAATACTTGTTTAAAACACACATACACAGAAATATCATTTTACCCTTGTACTTGTTTCAATACTGTAAACGTATTTTAAGACAGAGTGCACTAAAGTCTTTTTTTTTAAGTTTCTGTAGTTTCCTGATTTTTCGTCCAGTCTCTTCCTTTATCTATTCTGTAGCAAAAGAATCTTCTGGAAAAGAATCTACAATTTTCTTTTTTTTTTTATTTATTTTTTTATTAACCAAGGGACGCAGTCTCATCCTGAAGTGAGGAATTATACATATATAACGTCTATAACGTGTGTGTTTGTGCCATTATATGTACAAATGCATACATATATACACACACAGACACATCAGTATTGTGCTGGCTACTTTACTTTACCTTTTATTCAACTTTTAAACGAGGTGATCTCCGATTCGTGTATGTTTAGAAGCAGATTAAAACTACACGGACGTTTTTCGCCTTATTTTGTTCAATTCTTTGCTTCACCGAAAGAAAGAAAGAAAAAAAAAAGGTTGCATTTGTCTTGCAAGACAATAAATAGGAAGATCAGTATTCAAGGCACACTCATGTCAAATTGAATGGCAGTACAAAAACTGTCCAAATAAATTAATTTCACTTTTTATAGTGCCAGCGTTGTGAAAGCCAAGCCTAGCGAACGCTGGCACTTGAATCTCAGATGCTCCCTTCACCCACTAACTCCTTTTTCAGCGTAATTTCTTGCTCAGAAGCCGTTCGTAAAACAAAATCATAAAGTGCGGGTCAACTGCAAAGAGCTGAGGCTGTTTTTGTTTGTTTGTTTGTTTGCTTGCTTTTCTTCTTCGTCTTCACGATATTCCCTCAATTCTATCAATTGTGGTGGCTTGGCCCTCGTGTGGTACAAATCAAGTTGTGAATTAGGCAAAAGGAGTGCTTGAAGACATAAAAAAAGGAATAAAAAAATAAAGAAAAAAAAAGGAGGGGAGAAAAAACTCTGCTGTGCATTGTTGCTACTTCTTAGAATGCGTTCAACTACACATCACAGGAAGTCCTGAATGAGAAGAAAGAAAGAAAAAAGAAAGTCTTACTGTTTTAGCCCAACAGATTAGGACAGACACTCTTAGTGTGCAATAGTCTACATACCTGCCCATGACTGGTACACACGGTGACCAAGTTAACCAGATATGCTCATACGCAGAGTTCAGCAATTGTATAATGCAGTATGAATTTCTCAGAATGACTGGAAGCAAAAATATATGCATAGTCATATGACCACTGTAAACGAATGTGGAGACTGAACACACCCTGGAATCTGGTTAAATTGGTGACACCCAGCTACAGATGCAAACTCTACAATGACAAACATAAACGGAAGCACATACAGTCATGTGGGAAAGTTTTAACACCCCCCCCAGTCAACATCGTAGTGCACATTTTCATTGATTTGCTGAGTTTAACATGTTGGGGAAAAAAAAAAAATCAAATATGAAGTGTGCCAAAACTTTTGCACAGTCTTCATTGTATACCTTATTCATTTACTTTCTCCAAAATGTTAAAATGAGCAAACAAAAAAGAAACATACATTAAAAAAATGTGCGCTCCCAGTTAAGGATGTGTACTAACCACAATGTCGGGGTGCCAAAACTTTTGCACACGACTGTAATGTTTAAATAGGCCAGATATGTGAACAAAAAAAATCAGCTACCCTGCATAATAACTCTCTAGCGACCCATATAGGACTGTATGGCCGAGTGTGCGTGTCTATGTTTAGAAATTAGGCTATTTCTTTCAGCAGTGCATTTGTCCAGGTACAGATATGTAAATGCCGTGGTAAACAGGTAGTTGGTGGGAATCAGTGCTGGAGCTGGGAGGTCTTAGCCCTGTATCTGGGCTAAATCTGGCTAAAAAAAACACACCAGGTCTGAACGGACTGAACTATCGGAGCGAACGGCTCAGCTTTGATAAGAGCGTGACCAGGAGGAGCCGTGTTAAATGGTCTAAAGCTCACGGCGAGCGTCAGGAAGCCACGTGCCATCAGCCGGAATTAGATAAAGAAGCAAAAAAAGAGAAGGGCACGCTGTGATTAAGCTCGTACACACGGCGGCTGATGAGAGCGAGCGCCTTTCAGGATCAACAGTCTGAGCGTGAACTAAAGGACTTATTAAAAACGATCCAGAAGCAAAAGATTGTTTGACTGGCTTTGTCTCGGTTTGGTACTAGGTACCTGAAAGCAGCTGCCTTTGTGATCATCATTTTTTTTTTTAAACCATCTCTCCTGCCTGATTTACGGTCAGGAGAGAAAGCAGGATCCTCCAGGTTTACTGTCACATCTGACATTCAGTGCTACATACCCAATTAGATTGAAATCAGTTTACACGACAAGGTCTAAGGATTGTTGTCCGCTTACATGCTATCATGACTAATAAACAAAGCAGAAAAAATAAAAGGAAAAAAATAATAGCTTTCTCAGTTACGCTTTTCAAAAGATTGAATTCGGCTTCTCTTCAAGAAATTACATGTAGCTTAAATATACAATTTTATAAGCAGCGGCCTAAAGGTTTCTCAACTCGTTCTCTGTTCTGAAAAACAAAAATCTCAGGTTGTCTTTCTCTCTGGGTGACAAAACAAAAAAAACAAAAACACATAATAATAAAATAAAATTCCCAGCATTTGAAATCATAAGTAAAATAATGAAAAAATAGGAAATAAAATGCACCTGCACATGCCAGAACATTACGAAATCCAATAAATACAGAAATTATTGCACAGTTAAAGGCTCCATTTAAACATCGTCTAATTTTTCCACTGATAGACTGATAGACTGAAATAAAACGCCAGATTAGGCAGTTTAGACCCGCTCCAATTACAACTTCCCTTTGCTGCTGTCTTTTTTTTCTCAGATGGCAGTTTCTTAGGCAAAAACACAAACTCTAACTCAAATTATTATCACATTATTATTATCATTATTATTATTATTCGAAAAAGGAAAAACAGAGTATCCAGCTACCCCTTTTGTTTGTAATATTCAAGGAATTGTGAGGCAAAATAGGAAAAACATCTGGCTTAGCTTCTCTCAGCTTGTTCGATTTTGACCTCGTTCGTCATCAAATGTTCCCCGTGCCACTTTTTCATGTGTTTCTCTAGCGTGCTGTAGACGCTAAAGGGCATTTGGCAAATGTCACAGCGGTACACTTCCTTACCGAGCTGCCCGTGCGTCTTCATGTGGCGCGTGAGCTTGCTGCTCTGGGCGCAGGCGTAGTTGCACAGCTCACACTTGTAGGGCCTCTCGCCCGTGTGGCTGCGCCGGTGGACCGTCAGGTTGCTGCAGTTTTTGAACACCTTGCCGCAGTATTCGCAGGTGTCGCTACGCCGGCTCTCTTTGGAGCTGGGCCGGCCCTGCCCTGGGCCCCCGCCTAAATGAGGGGTGCTGCCCCCGCTGGCCGTGCCGCTGCGGCCGGAGAGTCCCCCGTCCAACAGGTCCCCGGGCGGTGTGGAGAACCGCAGGCTGCCGTTCTCTGAGGAATGCTCGGATGACGTGGCGAAAGGAGATTGTCTGGAGTCGGTGAAGCCTAGGAAGGGGTCTTTGATGAAGTGCCGTGAGGCCGCATAGCCCACAAGCCACTGAGAGTAGACGTTTTCGGAAGGGATCAGTGGCGCTGGGGGCATGTCCAAGTCCTTCTCGATTTTGATCCTCTTGTTGGAGTGGGACAGGCTGGGGCTGGTGATGGGCGTGGGCTTGCGGGGGAACAGGCCTGAGAAAGAGTCGCCCGAGCCACAGTTCCTGCCGTTGACGGTGGCCCGCTCCACCTGGTCCATCTCCCCGACCACCGAATCCTCGTCTCCAGTGTCCCTCTGTCCATCAGAACCCCTCTTAGAGAAGGGAAGCCTCTTCTGATTGTCGACGATCAAATTATTGTACTGCTGGATGGAGTTCAACCCCACGTTTTCTACCATCTTGCTCAGAGACAGTCCCTTTTCATCCACAGGGGGTTTGGAACCATTCTCTCGGTTGCGGCTCAGCTCCGAGTCCATGCTGAAATTGGATTCGGGCCTGCTCTCATTCTCCAGCTCCTCTTCTTCCTCTTCCTCTTCCTCCTCATTGTCAGGACCCAGTCCCTCGCCCCGGAAGTCCCCATCCCGGCCCTTCATTGTCTCCCCGGTGATATCGCTGGTACCTGGCTCTGGCGAGCTGGTGGCCGAAAGACCGTCATCCGAGCGACCCGTGATGGATCCCGACTTGTGCATGTGTGTCTTCATGTGGCGCTTGAGCTTGCTGGCCTGCGAGCAGGCATGGTCACACAGCTGGCACTTGTAAGGCTTCTCTCCAGTGTGGCTCCGTCGGTGCACGATCAGGTTGCTCTGGAACTTGAATGTTTTGCCACAGAACTCACAGGACTTGCTCTTGTCTTGCGTCTGAGGTGGAGTGGTGCTGTTTGGGGGCATAGGTGGTAGAGGAGGAGTGCTGAGGAAGGGAGACTTGCGGTTGGGCTGGAAGGGGTTGGGGTTGAGCAGGCGGTGCATAGGGTTGGCGCGGCTTGGAGAGAGCGGAGGGGTGGAATTGGTGTTTCCCGCCAGTTCTCGCAAGCGGCGGGAGAAATCCATGGACTGGGTCTCCATGGCCATGGGTGTCAGGCGCATCACTCTCTCAAAGGCACTGGGATGCTGGGAAATCAAACCCATTTCCTCTGCACTAAGGCGTTCCAGGCGATGGGGGTCTAAATGGTGTCGGGGCGGCGGGCTGACAAAGGGGGGCGTATTGGGGAGACGATTTTCCACAAAGCCTGGAGGGGGGTCCCGGAGCAAAGGCCCGGTCATCCGAAGCAGGTGGAAGGGGTTATTGTCCCCGAGGAAATTGGTGAGAGGAGATTGGGGTATGGATTCAGCACCAACTGGAGGAGGGATGGCGATCCGCGGGGTGAGCGAAGTGTTAGACGGATTGGGCTCCAAATAGATGCGGATCCCGTGTGTGTTCTGGGCGTGCTGCAGGAGGAACCACGCGCTGGCAAACGGCTGCTTGCATGTCGTGCATATGTAGCTCGAAGGTTCGTCTCTACCTGCAAGCAAGTAAAGGTACAACAAAGGTCTTTTTACTAAAGATGTTACTTGCAAAATTAATAACATTTTTCCATAATGTACATTAGCTGCACCTTACTTTTGGTAAATAATGGCCTGCATCGTGTACTGTACATCTGTTGCATTTTGCAAATATTCTTGTTTTGTTACATTATTCTAAAAGAAATAACGTTATATTTGATATTAAAATTAAATGTTTATAAAGAACGGAATACGCAGAAAAAATATACGCAGTGTAACATATAAAATTAGCTTCAAAGGTTCATCTTTACTTGCAAGCAAGTAAAAGACAAATGCCTTCGCTTGAGACACTCACTTTAAATCTAAATAAAGCAGGACTTGTCACTCATTCCCCCAAAACTACACAGCAAACAACTGTGAAAATCTCAAAAACTCAGTAGAATGAAGTGCTATGCAGCTGGCCTGACTTCAGCACTGCGAAACATGGGGTCACGGAGCGATTACATGTTTTCGCAGAACAAACTTTGCTCTGGGGCATTTGACATGCCTCGAAATTTGCCTCGCACTTTAAGCGGCGGCCTCACTCATCATGCCGTCCCGTGAAGAGTGCGGCACATACTTAACAAGCTTGTGACAAGATCATTTCCATACTCAGCTCTGACGGGTTAGCACCGCGAGAACGTGGCATCTCCAATTTCAACTAGTCTTTAATCTTCCCTCTTACAAATGGTTGAATCATTATAGCAGCACAATGCCAGGCAAAAGCGCTCTAAACTCGGAAACCCTCCGAGCACCGAGGCTGTCCTAAGATGCCAAAGTAATATGCTGCTAAATTGGAAAAGTACAACTTAAAGTGTGATTTAAGGGACTCTTATCGCTATCAAACAAATAAACTCGTCCCCTCTAGGAAACAAATAAAAAAAAGAGGAAAAAATGGGCACATCAAGATAAATGGTTTCTAATAAAGAGTGAAAATACTGCCTGTGATTTAAGAAGCTGAGGGGAGAAAAAAAATGGCCTGAGTTTGTTATTCAGTGTTAAAGTCTGTGGCATTTAAAACAGCTTAAGGGTATTATTTGCTCTTCCATTAAGAATTTCTCAGATTTTTTTTTCCCCCTATTCTATTATTGCTCTCTCTAAAAACACCATTCCAGCTTTTACTGACATCACAGAGGCAGCACTTTTAACCAAACACACCGAGAGCAGGTTTAAACTTTGACTAAACGTTGCTCAGAAGAATTCCTCCATACAGAATGGCAAATTAATCGACCTGGTACTCTTTTCTTCCTTTAAAAAGCTTTATTCTATTTTTTTTTGTGATGTCCTTTACAGAATAGTAGGATTTCGGCAGGGGAGAAAAAGCGCGATCAACTATTTAATCTGTTGTGAGGTGTGTTAAGAGAGGCCCCTGCTCTTGGCATCACTCTGTACCTTTAACTACACATGACTAATTGATGCAGCTGCAGGACTGTTGCACAGGTTCAGCAATGCAAAGGGGACTCGTTACCGCGCCAGCGCAAACAAGGCCGCTATAGCGAGTATACAGCGGAAAAGGGGGATGCTAAACAGTCGGGCAAAGTCCTGAGGGACTGCCGAGGGAAAAAAAAAGAGAAAGACAGAGTGGAAATGGTAATTGTGTACTCGGAAACGAGTTTCATTTATTTATTAAATGAAAGCTTGGTGTTCTGACCTAATACAGCAATTTGAGATACGCGGGAAAACATATGCTGCCGTAATTGTTGGGGTATTTGAGTCTCAGGGTTGTGCGTGTGTGCGTTTATGAGGGTTTTCCTCCAGTGTGTGTGTGTGTGTGTGCGTGTGTGTGGGAACGATGGGACTGCAGACACACACACACACACTCAGCTGGTTCACACACGGCCATTGTGTGGGATCAAAAAGCAGCCGATTTGCTGAATGACTCTGCTCTGCCCCTACATTCCTCCGAACACTGCTGATGTGTAAAGCTAAAGGAAGGACACTTTATTCATGTGGAGGAAACACAAGGAAAAAGACTGGGGGGCCTGGAAAACACACACAAAACAGGTTAACCACCGTTATTATTCTCATCCGAGACTTTAATCACGACCTCGGGTCTATTAACAGAACATTATTGCTGGTTTTTACTAGTTAAAACATACCCAGTTAAACACAGACCCAGACTAAGCCTAAACCTAGAGCAAAATCTATAGAAATTATAGAAAAATTAGCAAGTTAATGGTGGAACGCCTTTGACCTTGCAATTCAGCCCAAGACTAGGCTTCATCTATGTTTAAAACATCTATCGGTAGTGATGTATATTAATAATAATGTTTTTAAAAATACAAAAATAGGAAAAAATAGCAACTTTACAGGAGAAAGCAATAAAGTTCCTAACTTTTAATGTAAGATAAAGTCAAGAGATCTGATTTTAAATCTTTTGGAGCAGTTTTGTTATCCCATTCGTCAAATTCGTTAAATCTTGAATTAATTTTTATGGAATTTATGACATTTTCACACAGCTGCTGTGCTCAAATGATATAAATGATATAGAAAAACTAAAATGTGTTTTTTGACAGAGACAATATGATATAAACTATCATAAGTGTATGTCTAGACTAAGCATTTATAGAAATGCAATATTAATTGAGAAATCAACCCACAGAGACATAAACAAATATCATTTTATAAAACACAAAACTTTGAGACACTGTATATGCACTGACATGTGGCTTACATCACTTACTTCTGAAATAAGACCTACATTTTTCATCATATTTTCTAATCTTACTATATTACAGAGCATCTATAAAGAGTGTGCAATGCAAGAAAATGTTCGCAATAATAACCTTAAAAAATCTTGCATAAAAATAAGAATTATGTCTTATATAAGTCTCATAAGTATATCAGTACTGTAATTATATAGCACTGTACCAGTGCAATGTGTCATAATCAGGACTGACTATGCAATAATCATGCCTACTATAATAGTAATGCATTAGATTATATATCAGACACTATATAAAACTAGTACCCCATATAAAACAGTTTAGCACCTATTTTTTTTATTTTAGTTTTTTATTATTAGCACTATTATTATTAAATGTCCAGTGTCTACAATGTACTGTATGATAGACTGAAGAGAACCGTGAGAAAGCTTTTCATCATGCTGTACTGGTGTACTAGTATAAGCTGAAATGAAGTGAGTATAACTCGTGTTATGTTAGGTTACGCTAAGTTACATTATTTAATAGTTGTCAGCAAAAAAGAAAGCTTAGCCAAATACCTTAAAAACAGATCTAAAGGAAGAAGCACTTAACACAGAGACTCTAAAGGTTTCCTTCTGATGTGTGTTATGTGAGTGACGTGTGTTAACGAGTGCGGGGAACACAGCTGTTCTCCTCTGTGGGCTGCCCTGTCCTGTACAGCCTTTGACTTAATTACAGTGGACAGAGCATACGCTTACACACAATGGCCATCCTTTTTCCCCAGCCTTCTGAGACCTACACACACACACGCACACACACACACACACACACACACACTCATACTTATTCACACACTCCTCACTCACCCCCCCCCCTTCTTGTTGTTTTATGGCAGAGGCTTTCAAAAGCTAATGCTCCATGTAAAAGAGGCCCAAAAGTCTAGAAAACAAGCTGTGTCTGTGTTTACCAGCTTCTGTCTGCTGTGCTGTCTGAGTGTGTGTGTATGTGTGTTTGTCAGCATACATTTCAGGATATTTTACAAAAGTATTATTATTATTAATATAGGTATTTACATATATAACACACATGAGACATACCACTATTATAGAAGCACTTCAGAAGCACTTCATATTATATATATATATATATATATATATATATATATATATATATATATATATATATATATATATATATATACATGAATGGACCAGCACAAAATATACAAAAGTCACTTGGAAAAAAAAAGAAAAAATATGCATGACCCCATATCCCAACAAGGTATAAAAACAAGTGTCTGTGTCTCCTCTAACCGCTCGAGTATAAATGTGTAGACTACTGTACCAGCTAAACTTCTCGCGGACCAACAGAAGTCATTGGGGAACCGAATGTTCATTTCTGCCCCACAATTAAGACAAATCAATGGCCGCTGCCTGCGACGGTGTTTGTGGCCGTGCTGAAGGGACTAGGGCGTGAGTTTATTGAGAAGTGTTCAGCGTCTGCCCTCCCCGGGGGATTGGAGTCCGACGCAGATGGCAAATAAAGTATGCAGCCTGAGGCGAGAGCACATTATGCTAATTCTAATGTCAGCTGTACTTTAATATACAGCTCTATTTAATCACCCCATTATTTCACATTTCCATATGAAAAAAAAAAGAAAAGGGAGAGACAGGGAAAAAGAGAGAGAGAGAGAGAGAGAGTAGAGAGAGAGAGAGAGAGAGAGAGATAGAAGAAAATCCTGCAGCAGTTCTCTAGCTGCTGGGTCCATGTCCCTGTGCTTAGTGTCAGCATGGGGCGCTGTGACTTTTTACCAGTAAGACTGTGTACTAACACACACACACACACACACAACACACACACACACACACACACACACACACACACACAGGTTTTGGACATGGCTTTGAAAAAAAATGTCTTTGGACTTGGGGTCATAAAACATGTCCCATGTATACTAATGTGTAAGTCTCATAAGTCCCTATATGCAACAATAACGTTCCATATATTTACAAATGTGTGTGTGTGTGTGTGTGTGTGTGTGTGTAACTGTAATCTGTTATTTATGTAAGTATCTATATGCAATCATAAATTGTCCTGTATGTATCATTCATAGGTATCCATGTGTAATGAACACACACACACACACACACACACACACACACATATATATATATATATATATACACACACACACATATATATATATATACACACATATATACACACATATATACACACATATGTAAGTAAAATATCCTAAAACGTATGCTGATGAACGCACACACACGTATATAATATATACATATGCATATGACAAGTACCTGTACATTAGTGGT